GACAGTACGAGGGTGAGAGGCTCTTACTGTGGCATCATGAAAGGGGGTGTGATATCAGAGTGGCCCATTACCGCTGCTACCCCCTACGACTGCTCAGCGAGGTGGTGCTGCCAGCTTCCTCTACCATAAAGATACCTTTGTCTTTTTCTTGCCCCTAGGTGCAGCCCACACTGTGAGAGAGGGTGGGCCAGCTGCTTTTCCTTCCATCATTTCAGTCTGGCTAACGTTCATGGCTTGATCATCGTCCAACCTTGATCATGGCTGTAAAGAACTAGACTAGCCCAAGTTCACCCAGTAATACATGGCAAAGTTAAATTTTGAATTTGTCTCTGTCTGGCTCCAAAAGCCAGAAGACAAATTCATGTTACTGCCACCAAAGAAACAGGTGCTCGGGGTCTCTGAGGGAACTTGTGTAGAGTTTTTCAGATCAGTCCGCACATTGTGACCCAACAGTGGGTTGGGAAATCAACCTGTGGGTTGTACCATAAATAATAAAATAGCAGAGACTATAACAGAAAATAAATTTATCACTCAGGTAGTAAGTATAGGTTCATAAAACTTATTGCTTCTGTGACTTCTCTAAGCTTAGCTGCTTTTATCTTTACACTGGGAGGAAAAATACCCCCCCAAGGGTTGTCATGAGGATTAAATGAATCGATATACACAATGTGCTTAGAGGAGGCTGGCATGTATTTATCATTAGATAAACATTAACTACATGTTTATGTAAATGAGTGAGTTATGATATAAAGTATTTTTAATTGTAGATTGCAATCAACATGTTTAAAAATACTGAACTCACCTCTAAACCAGGAGTCAACAAATTTATGACCTCCAGTCTATGGTTTGTTTTGTGAATACAGTTTGACTGACATAAGGGCATGCTCCTTTGCTTATTTATGACTGCTTCTGAGCTACAACAGCAGAGCTGAGTACTTGCAATGGAAACTGTGGCCCACAAAACCTAAAATATGTGCTATCTGGTCCTCTATGTCCATACCTCTGCCTAGAGGTCATCTCTCCATGCAGGACATTAGATGTCTCTTCCTAAGCCTTGGTGCCTTGGTGTGCCTGCGCCCTGGCAGGCACTGCCTCTGCAGACTGCTCTGGACTGTGTGGCTGCTGCACTTGGGTCTCCAGAGGCTCAATACCCTTCTCCTTTGGACTGATGCCTACATGGTATAAGGCCAGAGCCATGGTAGTACGGTCAGTGTCCCAGCAGGAAACAGATGGTGTCTCAAATTAAAATGATTTGAGGAGGAGTGTTTAATAAGGAGATGATCTACAAAGGTGAGTGCAGGGTACAGGAAAGTCAGAGAATGTAGGGAAGTGGCAGAGTGCGCAGAGCCAGTAAAAGAAGAGCTGTGACCAGCCTAGGATGGAGGGGACAGAAAGAGTGTGAAGTTTGACACTGAGAGTCATTGAGAGAGCACACCTTAATTGGAACAGAGACTTTTCCAGTCTGGGGAGAAGGGCCACTTCTAGGTGAGCCCGCAGGCCGGAGGCAGGAGAATAAATGCCCCACTCTCACTGTCCTCCATCTCAGATTTGCTGGAGTCTCCCTGGGTGAATAGGGCCCTTGCCATGTCACTTCCCAGGGCAGAAAGCTGGGTAGAGAGGGGTGGAAAGGGAGAGTGGAAGGACAAACCAATACCAGCATGCAGCACTGACTTAGAAGGCCAGGTACATTGCCATTCCCACCCTCCCCTGACTCATGACTTCCCTTGCAGTGTCAAGTCTCCAAGTCCATAGTTTGCTCTGCAGACAATGCATTGGCGCAGCATTCACCTCTACCTTTTCTTCTGGATCTGCCAGTTATGAGGTGGCTGTCTGGTTCATCTTCCTGGTTTTTACCCTCAGAAGAGGGGCAGAAGGTTATGCAGAGGCACGGATAAGCTTCTGTGTGTGGACATGCACGCACGTGTGTGCTGTGTGTATGTGTGTGCTTACGTGCCTGAGCAGAATCTGATTAATACGTGTAGACTTCAGCTAAAGTTCTTCGTCATGCTCCATCTTTGAATTTCAGGAAGTAACTGTGTCCCCTTCATCTCTAAAGGCCTGCTCAAGTTCAAAAAGCAAGTGAGCCAACCTCCGACCTCTTTAGAAGAAAAAGTAAAAAAAAAAAATTTGCTTAAGATGATGAATGTCCCCAGAGTAATCTGTTTCTATTAACAAGGACTCCCAACCGCACTAACCCACACTCCTACGGGCATCCAATATCATACAGAGAATGTCCCTTGGAGAGGCTTCCCTGGAAATGCTCACTTTGTGATAAACCACAAGCTCATAGAGAGCAAGAACATGATTTAGGTAGCACAGCCACACAGACTGTGGGGCTAGAATTCAGGCCTGGGAATTCTACTGGGTTTCTATCTTCTAAAGAAGCCAAAATTTGACGTCAGTCTTAGAACTCTGTGAATGGATTTGGCAGAACTTCCAAATGTGGTCTGAGGTTAGGCAAGCCTCCTCAGCAGATGGACCTGCAGGCCCCCCAGGAAGCTGCGTGCAGACAGAATGGAGCGCTGGTTTGAATCAGATCCTCAGCTCTCAAAGCCTATACTCCCACCTGTCAGCGATGGTTGACCTTCACCTTGTTACCTTTTGTTACTGAAACTTAATTTTCTAGTCCTATACATTTGCCACTACTAGCCAGGGAGTTGTATTAAATTTAATCCCACATGAATAAGTATGTTGCAGGGGCCAAAGGCAAACGAACAATGCTTTTCTTTTCCCTCCAAATGGAAGACTAGTGAAATATTTGCAACTACTTTTACAAAAAGCCGGACACCAACTCATTTGAGTGTAACTCTGAAGAGGTTTGTGCTCCAACCCTAAGAAATGGGGACCCTTCACAGGAGACAGGGGAGACTTCCGACAGGCTAAGAATGCTCTCAATTTCATGGACTCAGTTGTACTTAAAACACCTCAAGTTTCCCCTCCCTCCTTCTCCTCAAATTTCTTCAGAGAAATGAAGGGTTCAGACTCACAGCCCAAGTGCTCCGGTTTTAAATTAGACAACTTTGTCCTGACAGCAACCGAGTCACAGCTGTCATAGCTGATTATTTTTAGAGTTACTACTAAACCCTTTGTATGGCGTGTGCTGCCACTGTTCAAGGCAAACAGAAAGACTTCACATTTTATCCTGACAGCTCTGAGCCAGCCACCTCCTCCCTATTCTTTATTTCCAGCCTGTCTTTGGAAGGGAGGATGGGGCAACCTGACAATCTCATAGTGAGGAAGGCAGGCCCTTTTTACTACACCCAAGGGACTTAAAGCCCCCTAAAGTTGAGCAAAACCCATTGCCTCCAGGAAGCCAAGGAGAATTATTCCTAATGGCAGCAGCTGCTTCAGAGCTTTCTTTGGATAAACTATCTTTCCTGAGAGGTTACAGAGAAACCTTGGAGTACCCATCCAATGAGAGCACCCAGATGCAAATGATCACAAAGTGCTGGCCAGGATTGGCCAGCTTCTGGGGGATGTCACAATTTCCCTCCTCTGACCTAACAAAGCCACCACCACTGAAAAGGAGGACCTCCGACTGCAGCTCTTGCAGACAGAAACATTCACTGCCAGAAAAGCACTTTCTAGATTGCTCCTGGAGTGTGGAGACAAAAAGTCTCTGCTGTCCACATTACAGAGACCAGAAAAAAAAAAAAGAAGACAACATGATTTTATGAACATGGGAAAAGAAGTAGAGCCAAGGCCCAAGGTGAACGTCTCTTCTTACATCCACTTTTTGTTGAATTACAGAAACAAATGCAAGGAGCAGCAGCCAAATACTTACCTTGGCTTTAAAGAGTTCTCTAGAAAGTGTTCAGAAAAATGGAGGAACATCTCAAAGCATGAAAAGGCCAAGTACGAAGCCCTGGCAAAGCTTGACAAAGCCCGATACCAGGAAGAAATGTTGAATTACGTCGGCAGGAGGAGGAAAAGGAGGAAGCGGGACCCCCAGGCGCCCAGACGGCCTCCGTCATCCTTCCTGCTGTTCTGCCAAGACCACTACGCCCAGCTGAAGAGGGAGAACCCGACCTGGTCTGTGGTGCAGGTGGCAAAGGCCACAGGGAGGATGTGGTCTGCAACCACACAGGCGGAAAAGCAGCCATACGAGCAGAGAGCAGCTATTCTGCGAGCTAAGTACTTTGAGGATCTTGAAGTCTACCGCAAACAATGCCATGCCAGGAAGAATCTGCAGAGGTTGGCCAGAGGCCAACGCAGAGGGAAAACCCGAGGCAGACGAAACTGAGGGATCCCGTTTGGAAAAATAAAATGCTGCTGAACTGTACTGCCTGGTTCTGGTCTCATGAGTGACGTTAGGGAAGCTTTCACAGCTGCGTTGAAGTGGGTTGCTGGGTGGAGAGGTTGGGACTGGGGAGTGATCCCGGGGAGGCTGGTTCTTGAGACGGGGGTGGTGGTGTCCAAATGGGTTGGCCTGCGCACATGGGATGAAGTAGGATGAAGCAGCTGGGAGTGATGGAGGTAGGACCTTCTGGTTCTAAATGGTCATGCAGGTGGTCCAGTTGGGTGAGGTCCCAGAAGCAAAGCATGACCAGACACCCATGGGGAACTTATTCCACAGGCAGCACTAGTGCCACTGAGTTGAGCTGGATCTACAGGCGACCAAGAGTTTCACTCCAGATTCTGAACCTTCTGTAAGGCTCAGCTACCCTTAGGTGGGCCAAGATGAAATCCCAGGGGTGTCCTTTAGTCAGGGTGAAGGTAGGCACTACAGTAATTTGGTAAAATAAGGCCTCTCTCTCACTGTAGCTCCCAAGTGGACCTGATCATTGTTCTGTCCCAAATATGTAACATCATTGAATTGATGACCATCTGACACCCGTTCCTCTTCCTCTTGGTCACATACCACACCTTGACTCCCTTTGTGACCAAGACAGAGGACAGAATCCCCCTGACCAAGGTGATTGGCTCAGCAATGGTCCAATCAGGGTGGACCTCAGGCATCCCATAGGAGTGTTGGGGGAGAATGCGGCCTGCAGTTCCATCTCACAGCCTGTGAGGCCCTGATGGTAGATAGTCCCTGGCATGTACTCTCCCGGGCTTTTCATTGAAGCTCAGCCTACGGGTTTCATTTTCTACACAGGATGATCTGTGTCAAGTTTTCTGCTACTTAATGGTTTGAGATGAATGGGGTTCTATTGTGTCTGTATTGTATCTTGATTTTTTTTTGGCAACAAAATAGGGGGCAGTATTTCATAACAATCAAGGTGGCTTGAAATGAGATATTGTGAAAAGGTTCTTTTTACTTCCTGGCATGAAAAAGACTTGAGTCGAAGCACTAAACTGGTTTCTTTTGTCCCCAGTTATGTGTAAACAGACTGCTCCAACTCTGTCTCTAACCCTACTTTCCACTCACTACCGGGATTTTTACTTTTCACAAGTAAAGCACAAAGGTAGTTTGAAAAATATCTTAGAACTGCATAAGCTTTTAAGGATGAGAGGTCACACAGTGGAGTGATTGAGAAACCCAGGGTCTCTAATCAGGCAATATATTCAGAGAGGATCCCCACATGCTACGCCCTGTGCTGGGTGTGTAGGGGCTGGACAGGGACTGCTGTTAGGGTCCTGCCCCATAAGATTTTTCCTTCTGATGACAGAGATGGTCTTGGCATAAATCACAACACTGTCAGGCAGAGTGCTAAAAGTGAACCCACAAAATGCTGTGGAGGGACCAGGGTCCACCCACCGAGCCCATTACCAAAGTCTTCATGGGGGAAGTGGCTTTGCTCTACCTGGAAATCTGTATGCTGGCAAAATTCCCATCCCCATTGCCCACAGCTACTATTCCGACTTGGCTCCGCTTCCCTGAGCTCATCCTCCACCTTCTCGGGGGACAGCCTCATTTTCTGCTTCATTGAGAAAACAGAGATCATCAGATGTAAGCGCTCCCCATTTTCTTCCTCAAAATGCCATCCACACCCATCCTTTCCCCCTGGCCTCACACCCCTCCTCCTCTTCCCCTCTTCCTCTGCCTCTCTTAGGCCTCTGCTCTGCACCACGAGGACGCTGACCCTTCGGCCTCTAAGCTTGTCCAGTTCCACTTGATGCTGTGACATTGTGGCTCCAACCTGAGCAGTGGCAGGACCTTGGGCCAGTCCTCATTCCTATGAGAGGAACAGGAGTTCTCATTCACATTTCTTATCTGGGAACTACGGATAACGCCTGACTTACACATTGTTTTATTGGTTAAATGACATGACACATGCAAAAAAGTATTTGGCACAGTCCTGAACACTAAAGGACACCCTCTAAGGTGGCTGTTCTATGATCCGTTCCTTCTGGTATAAACACCCTGGTATAATGCCCTCTCGCTAGCTGTGGACAGGACCTATAACATCCTTCCCATCAAGAGAGTATGGCAAAGGAGATGGACTGTCATTTTCATTATTAGGCAATGATATGTAATACTCCATCATCTTGCTAGCCAATCTGCCCTGGAGACTTCCCCCTGCTGTTCATTTAAGCAAGCAGCCAACTTCAGAAAGTCCGTGTGGCAAGGAACCTTGATGACTCCTCAGCAGCTCAGGGCAGGCTCAGACCAACAGCCAGCAGAAAATGAAATCTCTCAGTCCTGTTACCACAAGGTACTGCAGGCTACAGCAACCACACAAGTAGGGTGGTGGATCTTCCTCTGGTCAAGCCACCGAATGAGAACCCAGCCCTGGCTGATGACCTTGACTGTAGTCTTGTGAGACCTTAAGACATGGAGCCAGCTAAACTGTTCCTGACCCCCAGAAGCTCTACAAACATAGGCGTAGATTCAGAAATGTTTTAACTGTGTAAAAGCACATTGTTTCAAGCCACTAAGCTTCTAATTTGTTACACAGCAATAGATAACTAATACACTGCGTGATGAATGCTAACTTTGTCATAATTCTAAGAAAGACCGTCTTTAGCATTGTTCCTCCCTCCAGTCTCTGTCCTACCCTTATAGCTTCCTGTCCGTGGTTACCAACCCTTGAAGGTAACCACTCTACAACAGTTCCCACGGAGCTATTGTTCTCAGCCCAAACTATGGGCACCTGGAGGGCAGCAGCTGTGTGAGGTCCACAATCCTTGCTGAGAAGAGGTGCTCACAGCCGGGCCCCAGCCAAGGGACACCGCTTTCTAGTTTCCTCTGTGATTAATGATGTGGTAAGTCAGAGTTTTGACAACAGTGTGTGGTGCCCCTGCTGAAAATGAAACCCACTGATGGCCCTTTATGAAAAAGACAACAGGAGGGTGTGGATCTGCTGACTTCTAATGACTGTACTGTGATGACAGTGGAGGGAGATGGGGTGGGGCAGCCTGGACCTCAGATGGGGGTCGGTGTGGGGGCAGCCTCGCAGGCTCACTCAGCAGGGCTCAGGTGCCCCATTCTCCGGAGGCAAAGCCTCTAGACCCATAACTGTCTTGATGACCAAATCCCTCCACTTGAGCCTTCTGTCCTCTGTTTGCGTAACATTAATGTATTCACTCATTCAACAAATATTTATGTAAATCTTACGCCTGCAAGATACCAGTGACTGTTCTGGTGCTAGGGATACATCAAGGGCCCTGATCTCTTTCATGCCAGGGAGGAGGAGACAGACAATAAATAAATCAACAAATAAACACATCAGAATATTTTTTGATAGTGTCAAGTGCTCTGAAGGAAATAAACCAGGGTGATAAGGTAAACAATGACAGGTGGGGCAGCAGGTATTTGGAATGGCCGGCCAGAGGCCCTCTGTGGGATGACATTTCCATTTAGACTTAAAGAACAAAGAGCCAAGGATATCAAAGTCCAAGGGGAGAATCCTTCAAGCAGCAGGGGAGCAAGGGAAAAGGTCTTGGGCAGGACTGAGTGCAGCATCTTGGTGGGACAGGAGGAGGCCATGGTGACTGGAGATGAGGCAAGTACTGAGATGTGGTTGGAAATGTACAGGCCTTGGCGAGGGGTTCACTTTGAAATGTATGTATCATAGGGAGCCAGAGGGGATTCAGCAGGAGGTGACCATGTGCTTACATCTTTGAGGTCTTGTTGGTCATTCTGGTCTTCAGAGGCTATCAATTACCAATGAGAGGATGTTACCCTCTGCAGTGGCTACAAGAGAAAACAGCATTGCTAGAAGCCCCCAGACCCATGACATCTTCCTGTGTGGAGCGGAGATCACAAGGATCCTCCTCTTGGTCTAGAAGGAGCTGTGAATTAAAAACCAAGTGTGTGTGTGTGTGTGGAGGGGGACTTTCTGCCTGTGATTGATTTTCCCAGAAATAGAGAGGTGACCATGAGTGGCAGAATGTTCAGGGAAACACCTCTTCCTGGACCTCATATATCCACGAGAGTCAATTTCCTCCAATCAGTGATTCTAACTCGGTGCGTGTTAGAATCACCTGCTGGGCTTAGAACCCTGATCAGGTGCTGCCCACCCCCACCTCCTCGAGTCTGACTCAATATTTCTGGGAGCTGGACCTGTAAGATGCATTTCTGTCATTCCCATGTGTCGCTGCTGCTGCAGGCCCAGGGCCACAGAAGGATCCTTCTCCTGCCTGCAGCTTCTCACTCACTCTTCGGAAGATGTAGGAGGTAGTCTTGATTACTGGTGAGCTTGGGAGGAGCTGGCCCTGCTCAGCTCCACCTCCCTCCTTCCCTCTTTCCCTCCTTTCTTCCTCGGTCCCTGTAGCGTGTATTCAGGTCTGCCTTCCACTTGGTCCCTCAGTGATCAAGGTGACACTCTTGATCCTCATCTGGCTTTCTCCAGCACCTGCCAATTGATTCTGCACTGGAGAGGGAAATGAGTATATTTTATTGATTGAGTTTCCCTCAAATCACAACAGGGAAGTTAATCCTGGTCGCAGAACAGTCAATTGGCATCTGGACTATGGAAGCTCACTGGGATCTTAAAGATGCTCTCAGCCTCCACTGAACACATCAATTGGGCACAAAGAAGTCTAGTCTTTGGTCTATTCCATACCAGGACAGAGTGAGGTCATGACAGCAAGGTCACAAAGGCAGTGGGACCCCCTCTGTCCTGTCCTGTGACCTCTTGTCATATTTCTACATGCAATACATACCCTTGAGGTGTGCTGAGAAGAAACGCACTGTCATGGACATGTGAGACTGTCATGGACTGATATGGACTGTCCTGTTGTGTGAGAAATGTGCTGGGAGTGGGGATACCTGCCCTGGTCTCTGAAAGGTGGGTTAGAAGGCAAGAAAATGCAAAGGCAGTTTCAAGTAGGAGAGAGAGCTCAGCCATGTGACCCCTGGGGCTGGCCCTGACCTCTGATTGCCGGTGACACCATGAGTGTGCTGTGACCAGGCCATTCCTGGGAGCAGATGCCTGACAGGAACTCTCCCTAGCCATGGCCCTCTTTCCTACCCTTCCCCAGCTGCAGCTGGTGGACTGTGTTTCTAAGAGCCTTCCCTTCAGCAATGCAATGTTTCAGAGGCTGCCTGTCACCTACAAGAGTCTGACGTGGTGACATGAGACCACTGGGGCCTTGCCAGGTGTACTGTCCCTGAGCTTTTAAAATGCTCCCAGTGTCCCTGCCTGATACACACACCCTGTGTAGACCCTGTGGAGTGTGGGTTGTACCCAGAGACTCAATCCTAATGACGAGAATGAGGCAAAAGCAATGAGATGTCACCTGGTATTAGGCTATAAACCCCGTGGCTCTGCCTTCTCTCCCCTCTCGCTTGCTTAAAGCAAACTGACAGGTTGAAAGTGGCCCCACAAGAGGCTCATGTGGCAGGGACAGAGGGTGGCTGCTGGCCAACAGCCTGCAAGGAGCCCGAGCCTGCTAATGACTGCAAGGAAGCCTGGAAGAGGGCTGATCATTCTCTCACCGAGCTCGAGGTTCCTCAGCCCCAGGGGAACACCTGCACCACCGCCTCGTGACAGACCAGCTAGGATGCACCTGACTCCTGACACACAGGTACCAATAAATGTTGTTTCATGGTTCTACAGCTTTGAGGTAATTTGCTATAAACTGGAATAGATAATGAATATAGATTTAGGTATCATGAGAAAGATAGTGCCGTGACACATACTTTAAAAGGAAAAATGTAAGGTGACTTTGGAACCAGGCAGAGGCTGTAAATGCTCCAAGAAAATTGTTATAGGACTCTCCAGTTGCCTCGTAGAGGCTGTCCATAGAAAGGTGGACTTTGAGGGTGGAAATGAGGGACACATTACGGGAGGGTAGTAGAAGGGGATCTTTGCTAGGCAGTGGCAGAAAGCTTAGCGATACCTGTCTGTGGTTATGCGGCAGGAACATGCATCTCATGAATTTAGTCATCTAGCTACGGAGATGTCCGAGCCATGAGAAGAGGGAAAGTGTCCAACATAAAGGACCCACGACTCGCTAGTGTTGAAGGTTCCTAGTCTTCCAACAGAGCAAAAATGCTAAAGTTAGGAAATGGCTTTTGAACATTGTCACGAAAAGGCAGTCTGGAGATAAAGCTAAGAATGTGACTGGGTAGCCTTTGGTTAAGACCTCAGAAACATCAAAGGGTCACACCAGCCCTTTTAAAGTGAATAGAGTGGGCCTTGAATGTCTGCAGACCAAACATCAGGGTCTCTAGGAGACAGAAAGGGTATCCTTTGGTCTCCTCGGCAGGAGGCTCAGGTACAAAAGGGTTTAGTTCAAACAAAACAAAGGGTGTGGCTTTTGGGCATAGAAGGAATCTCAGTGAGATTTACAGAAACCCCAATTTGAGAAAACTATTATTGGACTGACGGCTGGGACTGAAAGGGACCAAGACAGCACAACATTAAAAAGGCCAGAAGATCCCCAAAATTCTCAGCAGGAAGCAGGCTGAAGAACCAAGTCAGCTTCAAACACATGCTTCCTTGGCACTGCGGATGTAGCTTAGTGGTAGAGCACTCACCTAATAATCAAGGGGCCCTGGATTCAATCCCTAGCACCAAGCAAATAAAAGACACGTTTCCTTCCATGAAGAAGGAAGTGTGATTCGGAATTACCAAGGGCTTAGAAGGTAGAGCTAAGAGCCACGGAGAATCTGTCCCAGACTTTGAAACCTAATCAAGACACTTTTGGCATTTTTCTGGCTGGATTTCAAAACTGTTATGGACCGGTACCTCTTTGTACCTCACATTTCCTTTGTGAGTAGGATGTCTAGAGCCTTTGCCCTAACCTATCTGACCACGGTATGTTGGGCACATGGGGGCAGATAGATTGTTTCTCTCTTTAGTTTCACACATTGATGCATCCAGACTAAGCAACTTCTGGAGTCTCTATTTAAGGAGCTACAGGCAAGAGCCGCATCCACACCTGGACCTGATCTGGACGATGAGTCTGAACTTTGATGCTGTCATGGAAGGGGATGTTTGCAGAGCTGGGGAAGGAGCTGTCATATTCTGTAAGTGGAGGGGATGGGAATCATTGGGGGTGGGCAGGCAGCTGTGCTGGACTTGACTGCACATGGCCTCTTCCTTCTGTGTTCCTGCCTTTGTGCTGTCCCTTCCCCTTGTGTGGGTTGGACCTGGTCACTCACTTCAAGTGTTAGGCCATAAAGGACTGGCCCCTCTGTCTGTGTCTCTCTTGGCTTACACAGATGAGGCCAGTAGGTGTGTCCAAGCTGCCTGATGGAAAGAACCTGAGGTGTAGCTTCTTGTCGCTTGTCTGTCATAACCTCTTGTAATCTCTTGTCAGGGTACGGAGGAACTTGAACCCGCAAACACCCAACAACCGTGTGTGTCTACTTGGTAGCAGTCTTTCCCCAAGGTGAACTCTGGGATCCCTGCAGCCCTGGTGGTTGCTTTGAGTGTAGCCTTAGGTGAAATCCAAAGCCAGAGAATCAAGCTAAGCCACACCTAGATGCCTTACACATAGGAAATATGAGATAATATTATTTCAAACCATTATGCTTCGGGATAAATTGTGATATAGTAGTAGATATCTAATACATCCACCCCAAGATCCTATTAGACTGTTATTTCCCGCAGAAACACTATTGTCTCTCCTTTTGAGACTCAGGGCCTTTGCACAGGCTACTCCAGGCCAGGATCACTTTTATCTTCTACATCTGGGAAACTTTCACCTGTCCTACAGGACTCAGGTGAGGTATCCCTTCCTTTAGGAAGCCCTCTTTAACCTTTTTGCCTGCCTCTGTGTTCCCATATCAGCTTATGTAAGTTCATATTTGGTCCATGCAACTCATACAGCTCATACACAGGTTAATACATCTCACATCATAACTATTGTTTGTCTCCCCAGCTGGTGGACAAGGGCCTTATTCACCCCAGTGCTCTAAAACTTAACCTTTTTCATGGAATAAAATAATAATAGCAAACTTTTATTAAACACCTATGCTATGCTTGATGCTGGTTGAAGAAATTTAACGTAGTTATCTTCATCAGAAAAGCAATGATGGAAGTGCTTTAAACTCCTCAGTCTGCAGAGGAGAAGCATAGATACCAGGGTAGGCTCCCAGTTCACACTTGCTGGAGGACTGAATCAGGATGGCAGGCTGATCGTCTTGTCCTGTGCCTAGCAGTCCCAGGGTCATTTAGAGTTCCCCTGCTGTCAAGAACTCTGCAAATTCCAGAAGATTTTCGAGGCTCCTAGACATATACTGTCTGCTCAACTGCCTATGCTGTTAGGTATTTCCAGAGAAATACCTGGATATGTCCCTTGGTGCCTTTACGGAAGGGCTTGGCTGGCACCCAGAGAGCTGAATGTGCATGGAAACTGCACCTCTAGCTCTTTGATTGCAGCAGTACCTCTGGCTCACAGGCAGAACAGGCATTTGTCTCTCTTCATATCCTATCATTATAAACCATGTAAATTCCCCAGTACCGGTGTTAAAATGAACAGATGTGGCTCTGTATTTTTAATGCATTCTGTGCAATTAGCAGCAGTGGCACGGTAGAACTCTGCCGTCCCCAGGGCTGCCCCTCACCCCTGCAGCTGTGAATACGTTTACACTAAAGGATCTGGCCTTGCTCATCTGCTCAGCACAGCCCTGGCAAGAGGGCGAGGGAATTTCCATTTGCAGAGCCTCGCCCCTGGCAAGGCGCAGAAGCTCCATCATATATTCACTGCTAACTTAGTCTCTTGAGTGCATTCCCTCTGCTGCCCCTGTGCTTTCTCAACACCTTAAGAGGATGTCCTTTCTGGAGGGCCCAAATATCCTAGGCAAACGAGGTGTTCATAGATTTGAGGGCTGTAAAGACCTGAGAAACTCAAAGGGTGGATGCTGCAGTACCCCAGGTCAACACAAGAGGGCGTCTACATGGACGTCAGAAAAGATGAGGCCTGTTTGTGATGCGGGTCCCTGGGGGCTCCCCAGTTCTGCCCAACCAACGGGGAAGCACACTTTTTGTAAGAAGTATAATTTCTCACAGATCCTGGGTACTGACTATGCACCAGGCCGATTTCCAAGCGCTTCTCAGGCACTATCACAGTTATTTCCAGAGGCAATATCAATGCCTCCCCGTTTCCCAGCCAAAGACTACCACGAATCCCTTGTAGTTGAACAAAGCTGGGTTCACTGACTGGTCAGGGGGTACACAGCACAAATAAGTGCGGGGTGTCTTAGTAAGAAGGTGCTGGAACAAACTTACTACAAGATTGAGTTTGTGTTAGATGATTTGGGGAGGGTTCAAGGAAGCAGAGCTTGGCCTGCATTGATGCAGCCAGGAAGTGGGCTAATTCTATGGCTGGGGATTTAGGACATTTAATCTAGAAGGTGGGAGGACTGAAGCAAGATGCACGGTGATTGGTAAAGAACCCAGCATCACTCCATTAGCTGGGGTGGGTTGTATTTTTATATTTGGGACAAAGTTCTTCTCATGGTCTGAGTTCAGACATGATTTGGGAATGGACCTGTTTTTGTATTAATCCGTATGGCCAGAGTACAGGCCTGTGTGGTACTGATGCTGTGTGAATTATTTAGTCATCAGGAGAAGCCCAAGACCTCAGGGTGGGTGCAGTTGTGTCCTGGCGGGGCAAGGCCTGCCTGTGTGGTGCAGCCACAGCCCCAGGCCTCCTGCTGTCTCTCTCCACTCTGTGGAAGTGCATAGAAATGGACAAACACACAAACAAACACTCAGAGACATTAGGCGCCTTGTTCAAGGAGTCCCATGGGAAGTGGTGTTGAGGTTCCAGGGCCACTGGAATTCCAGTGGGAACAAGAGCCAGTGGGGGGCTGGCGGGATGCGCTGTGACTGTGGGAAGCCAGGCTGATCAGGAGCGGGACTGGCTATGGAGGAGAAGAGAGAAAGAACATAGGCTTCCATGCCAGAGATCTCCACCTTACAATCTGTCCCTCCACTTACTACCCATGTGGGCCGGAGCAATTTGTTGAATATCAGAGATTCAGTTCCTTCTTCTCCATAACGGGAATACAAAAATCTGCTTTCCCAGCTTCTTGTGAGAATACAGTGAGAAGACAGAGTGCAGTCTTTGGGAAACAGATATCACCTTGAGCGCTTACTGCATTCAGGGTGCATTTGCCCCTCGCATGTACTAACTCATCCCATAGAGCAACCCCAGGAGGCAGATTCTGTTATAGCCTCTGCCTTGCAAGTGACAGGATGGTGGCACAGAGAGGTTAGACAACTTGTCTGAGTTCGCACAGCTACCGGAGAGCAGAACTTAGGCATTCTGGCTCCAGTCCCCTCGTTCTACTGCCTCTCATGGTAGCTGCGGGGCTCCTTCCCTTCCCGTGCTGCTCCAAATCATGAACTTCAAAGCTCCAGTCATGTTTTGATGGAGATTTAATGTGCTGAAAGTCCCCAGGCCTGCGACTTTTGATTGCAGATGAGTCTAAGCTGCTTGCTTGGCTCTGGTTGGGAGAATATTCATTTCCTTTTAGAAGGTCAAAACATTCCTGGCATGACAGATAATATAGATTCAGGTCACTGCAGTCGATAGATCAAATAAAACATAGTATTACCCTATTGGTATTTCTACACCTTTCAGTAGTAAAGTCAGTGGAAAATGTTGGGAAATGGGTAAAAGCTGGAGTGTGGGAGGTGACCCGATGTTGTGGCACAGCCCTCTTCCAGCAAGACTGATGTGCGAGCAGAAGGCAAATAAATGGTCACCAGCAGGAAGGGGGTCAGGCAGGGCCAGTCTCTGATCCCGTAGTGGCCAAGCTGCTTGTTGTGCCTGTGGGGTACAGCTCCAGGCTGCTCGGCATTGCTTCTTGCCAGCCCGGCGGTGCATCCATAGCTTGTGTCACACGTTCTGGGAGGATGGGAGGCCAGGACCTCTGGGCCCAGCGACTCTCGTAACTTGACTCCTTTATGCCTCAGACGCCTCTAGTTCTAGCTCCACCACCACATGGGGGAGATGAAGGCCTGGAGCTCACATCAAAATTCTGCTGTGTGCTGCAATCCTAGATCACCACCATCAACCTCTTTGAGGCTCATCTGTTCTTAATTATATCTCAGAATCCCAAGGCATTACAACTCTGAGAATTTGGGGAATTTAGCTACTTAGAGGATTCATAATAATCACAGTAATCCTTGGTATTTATCAGGCTTCCTTTCTGCAGACTGTGAGAGCCAGCTAGACAGCACTGTGGTGGTGAGGACAATCTGGAGTTGCTCTTGAGTTCTCTTCAGGAGTCCTTGGCCCTCCGTCTGCATTATTTGGTTAGGATTAAGGAGCTGGGTGAAAAGAGTAGCTTTCTCCATTACCTCCCAAGGGAGACCAAAGATAAGAAAAAGAGGTTATGCCAATGTAGAAGGGCCACTTGGACTGTTTGCCTAGTTGGGGCCCTCTTCTGGGGACTGTGCTTCTCCCCCAACTCTTCGCTGAAGGGATGCTCATGCCTGCTGAACTTGCTCCTTCACAGCATCAGGTGATTGGACAAGAAACAGATGCTTGAGTAACAGCAGAGCCAATCAGATTTTCTCTGTTGACAGTTTGATAAGAGCTATAGAAACAGAATGAGCTAGTTGAGTCCCTGGAGCTAGGCGTGGCTATTTGGGACTATGTACACTAACAAGCTGGGGGAAGGGGATCAGCCCATGCAACCCAAGCTTTACTCTCTAGCTCTTTCTGCCCCGGTCATTCATTCAGTCCCTCCTTCTGCAGCCAGGGCCATCACATGAGGCTATTGCTGCAGGAAGGCAAGGCACTGCAGATAACCTGAAACTCCTGAAAATGTTGTTTTCTCAGACACAGCAGGCCTTCCTTTCAGCTGCAGGGGAAGCTGAAGCCAGGAGCCATGCACAAGAGGTGGGAACAACCCGACTTTCCATGGACTAGAGGCAGCACCGCAGGATCCTGGGAGAGCAGCATGTGGGCCACTCCAGAGACCCCTGCTGACTTATCAGAAGGCAACACGGGCCTCCCCAGAGCCTTCAGGGTGTTGAGCACGGCTGCCCCTGACCTCCCCAGCTTGAA